GATTCTGTGATAGGAAAAGCTGTAATGTGAAGATCACAGTAACGTGAATATTTTGGACAGAATCACTCAAACGAAAATATCTTACGCCTTCGTGGCTTCCAAAAACATGGAAATTTGGTGCTTGATATATGGCTGTCGTAGTATGCTTTTCACACTAGGTCTTTCCTCAGGTTTTTTACTGAGCATAGTTCGTATTATTTCTACCAACTGTGGGCTGTAATCCTTTGGCATGGGTGGCAGCTGTAGAAGGAAAGGGAAGTCTGATATTATTAACCTATTTATCAACAGGGGCTACTGATAGATTACTTACGTGTGGCAGGTATGTTCAGCTACACACTTCACATAAAAATAGTCACACTGTTCAGATCCTGACCAAGTGCCTAACATCATACACGATACAGAATTTCTAAGTGTTTTGTCTCAGAACTGATTATACTTTTTAATTAATATCAGCAGCTAAAGTTCTGTGAATAGGCTTAAAAATTGATATAAAATAAATCCATGTTAACTTCATTATGTGCCAAGAAAAGACAGATCTTGAAATAAGTAGCCTTATCTAACAGGAAAATGGCATCACACAGACAGAGATTGAATTCTTCACACAATGTTTAAACCAGAAGGAAATTAAGAAATTAATCTCAGAACTTTGAAAATTAATCAATATACTAGTTACAGAAAAGGGTAGCAAGAAACTCGAGCAATATCTACAAATTAATAACTTCCTGTGCCTGATATACATCATATAGTGCCACGAAATATCAGCCTTAAAACATGTATGACGATGCATGTAACGTGCAAAATATTTGAACTCCATGCAATATTTCTGATTGGAGAAGATAATCTTGAGTTCTAGACAGAAAATCCAAGCACAGATAAAAAAAGAGTATAAGTTTTTACCTTTCCTTCAATAATTTGATAAACCAAAGAGTTCATGTCCTTAGCGTTAAAGGCATGTTTCAGTGTAGCCATTTCATAAACGCAGCAGCCTAATGCCCACACATCAGACTAAAAGGGGGGGGGAAGAGAAAAAAAGTTTTGGGAAGATTTTATTAATTGTAGAAGTTTTAACTCCAGACTTAGTCACTTGCTTTCAAAGAGACCTTTAATGATGGTAAACTAATCAAGACCAAACTCCATTGCAAACCTTTGGCTTCAACCTCATTCTTTTCTTTTCTCATCAACTGAATTATTTTCTTCCAAATATCACCAGATTTTTCTGAAAAGAAGTAGAGCAAGTTGCTGTTTGTAGGGGTTTTTTTGTTTGTTTCCTTTCCAAGTACAACATTGGTTCCAACTGGCAAATGAAAATCTTCTGATTTTCCAGAAATTGGAAGAACAGTTTCCCCTCAACTCTTGCTTCTTGTAGACACTTGTATTAAAGGTGTGTGTGGCTTGCAGCAAGAGCTGAGCAGGTACACAAAAGCACGTTTGCTTTGTTATATTTTAAATTCACAGCACCACTGCTTTTTTCTCTACTTAAAATTTCTTTTTCTAATGCTGCTGTTACATCTAATACTGACTTGCGAGTATAAAGCTTCCTGTTATATCATAAATTTAAGAAAACGCAGCTATCCAACACAGACTGATATTCTTGTTCACATCAGCACGCCGTGACAGGCAGGCAGCCTGCTGAACACCGTGGCTGTGCTAACTTACCACACGCTGTGGATTTCCATCTATTGCAACAAACACAGATCCAGAAACAAAGGTCCCTGCAAATCTCTCCCCTAATTTTCTGTTTGGTCTTTGGGGACATTAAAAAGAGTTGGAAGCAACAAGAAGTTCAAAACAACAGATACGAGTCTAACGTTCTCAGACAAAAAGTAGAACTGACATTTGCATTAAGTACCTTGTAGTTGTAGGGTTTGTTAGAGAAGAGCTCAGGGCTCATGTAGTACGGCGTGCCTATCAGAGTGCTGGCCATGTCAGACTGCTTTTCCAGCACTCTGGCTATTCCCAGGTCACCCACTTTGATTATATTTGTTCGTGTCAGGAAAACATTCTGAGTTTTAAGATCTCTGTGCAGAATGTGCTTCTCATGTAAATACTGGGGGAACAAACATATAAAGACAGTTAAGGAACTCCTAATTGGATCTTCTAGACTGAAAAGTAAAATCATGTTACACCAGTCAAAGAGGGAAAATACAAATGCAGAAAAGACACATACATCATAAGGACTATCAAACTCAGGAGTGCCCCTGCTAGAGACAGCATTAATGAATTAACATTCTGAATGACTGATAGAGGTACAGACCCAAAACTTGGCACTGCTTTAGTGAAACCTCCCCGTGTAGCTCTTAAAAGGCAGCAGAAAAGAGGAAATAAAAATGTAAAGATTGGGATTTTAACTCACTTTCTGCTGTCTCAATTGCTTGACTCTAATTTCTTAGTCTTAAACATAAAATTTCAGTGGAAAAGACAATGTGATCTTTGTGTAAATAGAGAAAAGAAAATAGTCTGGTAACAAACAAGACCAGGCAGTACTGCAGACTCGCATGTCTGATCACAACAGCAACTTTAAGACAGAATTTTCTGTCCAGTTTCTTATTTCTTACTGTTAACATTTCTATTTAGTCTTTGTTACTATAACAATTGCCTTTAAGATCTGATAATCTCCAATTATTAAATTTCAACAGTGTGATGAGATTTAATAGAAATGATGAATTAGTCTACATTTACCATTTAAAAACTCTAGCAAAACCACAGAACACAAATGCTTCTGAAATACTCTGCTTTAAAACAAAAACAAGACAACAACAAAAAAAAACCCTGCATTTTGTAAATTTAATCTAAACTTTCAAACCAGAGAGGTACTTCAGACTACACTTGCAAACACCCTGGAGGTTACCACTGCCTACTGTGACACAGAGGTGTAGACATAAAATATAACAGCAATTTCTTACCCAAAATAGTTCACTCAGCACAGTGACCTCTGAACATTTTTAACGTACTAACACCCACCACGCTACAGCCCAAGGTCTGCAGCCCAACTGCGGAACTTGTAAATGCAGAAAGAGGCAAATCAAACTTACAGCTGAAGGTGACAAAGCCATACTTGATCTTACCTGCAGCGCCATGGCAATCTGGACAAACCACTCCACCACCTGATTCTCAGGCAAGAGTTTGCCCTTCTGCTCTTTAAGTTTGTGATACAGGTCCCCTCCCTCACAGAAGCCCATAACAATATACAAGAGGCCATCCTCCCCCTGCCAGGACTCTCTGTAGGTGACGATGTTCGGGTGTTTCAGCTGGGATAACAGCTCTGCCTCTTGTTCTGCTGCTTTCCTCTCTCGCTTGGAAGCATTTTTAAGGTTTAACTTTTTGATGACATACTGTAAAAGAATTTGCAAGACATATCATGAGAGAGGAAAATAAGTAGGGAGAAGCCCCCACATCTAAAGGAAAGACAGTGTTTAAAATCTCCAGACATTATTCTATCCTATATGGAGACTGCCATTTCTCTAGCAGTTACACACCATTTCTAGCATGACGTTGTGAAAATGGAGCAGCTGTGGCTCTTCTGTTCATCTACCTGAAAAAACCTCTGCACAGGAATTTCGTGGGATTTTGCTTTCTCTTGACTAATGCTCACATTTATCTTTCCTTCCCTCACTTTCATTTCACACGTGTATCTATAATTCATCTCTTAAGCCCAGAATACCCGCTTGTGCATCACAGTTATTCTCAAAACAGGCCATTTCAACAGTAACTTTGACAATATAACTGTATGGAAAACATGCAGACACATGCAAAGAATGACAATGGATGTCTAGGATAAGAGCCATCTGGGTAGACTTATTTTGCTCTTCTCTGCTAGAAAACCAAACACAACTACTTTCATTTTGTTTTAAGGAAAAGTGGACTTTTCCTTTCACTTCTTCAGAAATAGCAGGAAACTCAAGAAATAACATCTCACAGCTTCAGCACACACAGATCATACATTTGAAGACCAAAAAAAAGTTGATAAAATCCCAGTGTCAAGGCTCAGATTAAAAACTCTCCATTGTCACGCTCATCAGAAACAGCTCAAAATAATGCTGCTGAGCTTTTGGGGTCCGATCATTCTTTTCTTAAAACAAACAAACTGCACCTGGCAGAAGACCCCCAAGGCAGAACTGAGGTTGCATTAATTGCTTGGTACAAAAAGTCCACAAAACAGCATAAAAAACTCCTGTCAGGAAAGAAATGTAGCAAGCAGAGATGCAGTCGGAGGGGCTGGTACAGTCAGTGGCACACTGCAAAAATGCTTTCTCAAAAACCTGAAAGCAGACTTCATTTACTTTTTTCAAGACTTGCCTTAAAACTATCCACTGCATTTGCGAGTTTCTGCATATGCTGGCTTAAATATATTCAAGAAGAAATTAATTATTAGAGGGAAGTAGAGACCTTCGGTCATCCTGAAAGAGCCAAAAGGTCTTAGCAGTCATTCCTAAATTTCTTTTATTCTGTACTAAGATGGGTCTAATTTTTTTAAAAGCTACATATGACAGATGTTATTTATTTTGCTACTATGTACTACATCAAACGTATTTCATGTTTTAGCAAAACTATAATTGAAGCTGAAGATGAGACAATAAAATCCATGACACACATTCATCATACATGGCACCAATGCCTAGGTCTGCCCTGGCCCCCTTCCTGATGCAAATTTTGCAGTGATCACTTCTATGGCATCAGCTTCCCATGGAACAAACATGCCATGGTGTACACCTGCTTGCACTCCTATCCGAGAGCTTGTAAATCAAAGCTCTAAAACAAATTTTAACAAATG